AATCGAAACCCGTCCCTTAATTAGGGACGTTTTTTCAGAATCCGTCCCTAATTTTAGGGTCGGTTTCGAAACCCGACCCTAAAGGGGAATCCGTCCCTAAATCCGACCCAAAATTAGGGTCATTTTTCGATATAAGTCATGCACGATTGAGGAACGCTCCAGAAGAACACCGATAGGGAGAACACGACACGTGTCCCTTATCAACACCATGTCAACGATACTACGATGATTCATCAGTATCAGAACCGTTAGTACGGTCAGCCGACGTACAAGGTCCTTACCACACAGACCGAGTCAATAACAATGGCACTGTACGGCTCCGACATACTACCGGTACCGCCAGTAGCGGCACAGTCTACCAGACTTGGAACATAAGGTATTTACACCCATACAAGGCCTGATCCCCTTGTAGGATTGCCATCGTGCGACGCACATGTCTACATCCAATCTCCGGAGAGTGCCCCGCACTTTAATTCATATGTTCTCCTTGTCCGACTGATGTCGTGCCTTCCGTGACCCTTGTCAGGGGGCGAATGCAATACACGGCTCTTAGCCTTATTCGCGACTCGATCCTAGATAGGGTTTGAGTTCGACTCATGACGTAGTCCTTCGCGAATAGTCATTGGAGACAGGGTTCTCAATGACCGCTCTAGTCATACTAGGTTGATGATGAAACATCGCTCTAGATATTTAGCCAGCGTGGAGTACTTCCACGCTACTAGATAAATGCTAGGCGAATCTTCCACGCGTTCCGTTTTTGGATCGTGGAGTGAGTAGGATTGCTACCGCAACCTACTCTATCACACTCTACAGTCTCCCGCGGGAGTTCAGATCTACGATCCTTTGATTGTGGATCTCTCTCGTTGATTAGTTTTCATAGCTTTCTAATCCTCTCATAACTTTCATTCTCTCAAACTCAAAACACTCGAAAAATCTTTACACTAGCTTTTAGCGTAGTGCATTCCTTCTACCAGACTTGGGTAAAGTGCCAGTGCATTCCCTTTCAATGAGGTCAAGACCCTCTATTCCATCCACTTTCGATGAAGTTCCTTGATTGAGACGTTTCGCATCCCAGGAAGGACCACCAAATCGGCCATGTTGATCCAACTTCCTCAAAGCGGCGTTACTACTCCTCTTGCTACTATTCATTTTTGTTGTGGCTGTTGTCTTATATCTGTTCTGCGCAGAATCAACAAATTGGTGATGCCGACACATTCATCAAGGGCAGATTACCTGTCCCTCCATTCATAGTTGGCAAAAAGCCAATGGCTATCCAACCAAGTGGCCAACTATGTGAGGCGAAAACCCAACATTTCAGCAGAAGTGAATGGTGAGACATGCTTTGGAGATTTGATGATGAGGTCAGAGGTTCCGGATTCCCACGAAATCATAGAATAGATGTGAGAGCTAAGGACCACTTTATCTATTTCGAGAGCTCTTGAAAAAGTGAGCTAATAATTTCTTAAAACTAAAATTCACTGTATACCCCGTGGGACATCCTTAACAGTCTTGGAGTACCCTCTTTCACATTGATTATTGATTGGGTTGGTTGGTTAACTTGCCTCTGGTTGTGACAAGGTTGGATAACACGAGATGCTGAAACAGAGCCCATCCTCTGTCTTGCCGTCACCTAGGACCAGCTACTACTGCTAGGGGATCATGCTACGCTAAGGGAGATTGCGTTGGAGCTACATGTATCGGAACGGTAGATATACCATTGATCGGGTGTTTCCGCCAGAGTTTCATTTCGTGCATGCATGTTGTTCCACGGTGGCTTCCACTCCACGGCACGGCAGCAGAACAAGAATGGGCTGAAAAATCAATCTTGTGATGACTCAAGCGCAGCTGCTTCCGGACCAGCCGCAAAAGATGCCATCTGGGATCCTTGTTCTTCAACAGATGGTTCGGTCCAATAAAGTGCGTCCAATTCAAAAAAACAGGCCCTCAACAAAAAAAGTCCTTCCTCGATCACTTTTTGATGGCAATGGCTTTCCCATCCCCAGGAACTAGAAGAGAAGCGCAAATAGACCTCCAATTGACTTGCGCACTGGGAGACGACCACTTGTTGCCTTTCATGGACGACTCTACCTACCGCAGCAAAAAGGATTCCGAATTCGGCAAACGGAATTCGCATCCCTTTACTTCTACTACAAGTATAACGGTAAAAGATGCTGATATTATGATGCCGGTGAGAAGCAATGGACTTGGTCCATCCTCAAAGTCGCCTTCGACCATCAGTAGTCAGTCAACATCTTCTTCACTGTGGAAGCGAAAAAGACTCGGTTGCTGGCTTGTCCTCGGACTGATCCACGATGGCGCCGCCTTTTCCTTCCATCACGTGATAACGACTCCTCAGCAGCACTACTCGACACACCGGGAAACCAGGACACGACAATTCGCAAAGAAAGGAAGCGTCAGTGGTGATTCTTCCAACGCGGAAGCTTCTTCTGCCGGCAAACCTGGATGGCGTCGACGAGTCTTGTCACGCTTCCGTCGCAACCAGGATGGTTCTTCCTTGGAAGCTAGGTCAACTCTACAAAGAGAAGAAGAGACAGTGGTTCCGCCTCCATTCCTCATGACGAATCATCCAACTGTCGACTCGTTCATCATGGAGAACTTTGAACGACTCTCACCAGAGCAACTCTTTTCCACGCTGGAACAGAGCAACTTTGTCTTGGACGGCAGTGGTAGTACTGACACTTCTTCCGTGTTCTTTGAGACTCCCATTGAGCTTCCGCTAGATGGCACTTCTTCTCTCGAACAACAACAAGAACAAGTCGACTTGCTCGACTGTGCGGTGGCGGCTTCGCAGATTGGTGCTACGTCCTCATTTGAAGGCGGTCCTCTCATTCGCAAGATGGCACGCAATTGGTTCCAAAACATGCTCACCAACTGCTTTTCACAATGGGCGGCAGAGGAACCTGTCAACCTACAAGTACGATGCTCCCCCACGGGAGCCGTCTTGCCTGCACTCCTGCGAGGCCAGTTCTTTGCAAATGCACGTGTTGACTTTGATAGAATCGTCTTTCCCTTTATTCAATGTTCCGGTGGTGGGTCCATTGAAGGTTCCAGCCTGGCACTCAATCTCTTGGCATTTACCGTGGATCGATCGGCGGAACGGAAAGCCACGCCAAGTAGTGGGAACAGCCAAGTTGTTGATGACAAGAATGCACCCTCGAACAAGAAAAGGAGTGCACCTAAAGCAGACTCACCGACGGCGGATTCCAGTAGAAGGACCCGTCTCTTGGATGCCAAAAAGGCGTCGCCACGATATCTCGGGCGCTTTGACCTCCACGCCAATGACTGTACCTTTACTCAAGAGGACTTGTTTGCGTCACGCTGTCTTCGCAATGGATTGCAAAACTTGGTCAAGCGAATCATGAAACGGCGTGGCTTCCGCTCCAAATCGGTCGTGGTATCGGACATTTCCATACTGGACAATGGCAAGATATCCTGCAAAGGACAAGCCAATGTGGACGGTATGATACCAAAGGTGTCCTTTGAGGTGCGATCCGGCATTGCATTCAAGAATCGAGGACATGTAATTGCCTTTCCAGGGCTAGAACTGTCCCTCAGTCCGGATATGGGGCTCTTTGTCCCCATTCCCAATGTGGAGCTTGATGTTGGACACAATGCCCGCATGCGAGAGCTTGTCATTGATGGAACCAAAAAGTTCCTCAAGCTGGGTTTCTCCGTCACAATCACACCGGAACACACCCGAAAACTCAGTGAAGAGTATACTCAATGCTCCGACTCCTTTTCCGCCAAGTTTTTCTACGATGTCGGGCGTTGGTTGACTCGCATTGGAAGATTTTCCTTGTAAATACACAACTACACTACCTCCAACGACCCTGGAAAACCTGTTTCCTCGGCACTGGAGTAGACTTTCTCTTTTTCCCTCGACGAGATATAAAGGCTTTTTCGATCGAGACGCTGTTGCGAGACGCAAGCAGCTCTGTCAAATGGCATTCACTACATCCTTTCAAGAGTTCCCAAGGCCTCCTTCCATCCTCCCATGGACTCAAATTCCTCCCTCATCTTGCTGCGCCCGGGTCACAGCAGGTCCCCCCCAGGCCCGAGTTCCCTTGTTCACTCCCGCAGGCGTCTCATTGTCATTCTTCCGTTTCGGCACCTTCATCCTACCCTCTTGCTTCACTCTTCCGTTACAGTCGTGCGATTCCGATTTCCTTCTCCTCGATAACCCGCTCCGCCCCCACAACGTCATCTCATGACCCAGCCCAGCATCCTTAGGAAAGATGGTTTATTACCTCTCCTGGTGACCTTCTTTTCCTATCTCCCAACTTAGACACTACATATATAGCTCTACACATATTGCTAGACTAATAAGAATCCAGTTGCACATCAGAACAGTAGCTACAAGTTCGTGGTTACAGTACAGCCAAACTAAATGGAGTTAAGAAATATATTGCATCATCGCTTGTTCTCCCCGCCAAGTCTCCTCCTCAGATGCACCAGTGTCTCTACAGAGTCTGTTCTGGGAAAGAGATCGAGTTGCCTGCAATTGATAACGTCAAAACACTTGCCAAGCAGCTTGAGATCTCTCACAAGGGCTTCGTGGCCGCAAGAAATGATGAGCATGTCATTGAGGCTCTTGTCGTGAATTGCCAAGTCCACAACCTTCTTATCCAATCCTTGGCGAGGTGGGTCTACTAGGAGGATACTGTACTCGCACTCGCGATGACCTGATGATGACGATTTCCTTTTCATCATGTTCTTGTGGGCCCATTGACCCGCATCTCCACGGACCACTTGGACCGGTGACATTATGGACTGCTGTTGCCGGTTGCTATCATTGTCTTTGACAACAATATTATTGAGTTGCACATTAACTTTGCAGGCATCCACCAAACGTTGGTCCAACTCCACTGCCATGATGGATGTGAGCAAGTTTGATTTGGCCAGGGCCATGGTATGAGCCCCACATCCACAGTACATTTCCAAAAGATGGATTTCTGGCAGTGTGGAAGATGTCGCAGTCAGTGAAATTCGTTCGAGCATCCATGCCAAGGCTTGACACATGACATTGGCATTGGGATGAAAGAATGCAGTTTCTGGTTTATGATAATGAACTGCAATGGCCTGACTTGTTATAGGCTGTTGTGGTGTTGCCAACGAGACTTTCCAGGCGGCATGGATATTATTATCATTGGATGGTGGTGGTGGTATCAGATAAATGGTGTCACGAAGGATATTTCCCAGACTGGACCCAGTCCCCGTCAGCGGAATGGCAGAGAGCAATATTTTCCGCGACCGTCCGTGTAATTGTGTGAGATTCAAGAGCTGACACACTTGATGGGCTTCTTTGATCCATTGATCTGCATTCTCTACGGCAGCGTCATAGTTCAAAGTCACAATGCAATCGGATTGAACAGCATCCTCGTTGGTTGATCTGTCATCATCCGGTCCCCAAGAAGCAGCAAATGTCAGGCTCGTCAAGCTTTCATTATTCACCAAGACTGGATATGCTGCAGTATTATTATTCAGAACCAATTCCAAGAGTTGTTGCATGGCTCGTTGAATCCTTGGGTTGGCAATGGGAAAGAAGGGCGATCCAATAGCTTCTGCTTGCCCTTGATACCGCATGGCATATTGATAATGGCGCTGCTGAGTGTCGCGTTCTTTCTCTTGGATCAGTAGTTGAAAACTGCATTTGCACCGATATCCCACAGTTTCTTCGGCTCTGGTACAGGGTAGGGACACTATCGAACGCGACGGCAGTGGCTGTTGCTGTTCCAACAAACGTTCCAGATTGGCAGCCGCAGCCTGCAGTTTTCTCTGGGAGTGAAGGACAGCATCTTCGCCTGTTAACTGCGATTCATACCCTGGAAGAACGACATTGGTGCCCGCTACTTGCATTGCTGTACGGTACGTAGTATCATCCTCATCAAACAATCATCTTCGCGGCAGCTTGCTGTGGGAGTGTGGAGACCAGAGTGTGTGATGTTGGCTTGATGTTGTTGGCATCGACTCACTGGTTCTTTGATTGAGAAGGGGGTACCTGGTACGTCAGTTTTGGTTCACAGCTTCTTCTTGCCGCACACGCTCGCGATCGTCGAAGTTCAACATCGCGTATGCAAATACCGGTATGCAAATAAATGGAGACCTGGTGCGAGGAATCTGGGGAAAGAGGATTCTTAAGAATCCCGTCATCGAAAATGCTGATTCTCAAGAATCAGTTTCTTTCTTTTTCCTCAGTTTCTTTCAAATTCCTTTGTGCTGGCATGGTGCCAACACACTTACTTGTGGGTTGATTGACTGTCCATGCAATGGCTACGGCATGGTTACAGTAATTGTGATGCAAAGGCCACCAAAACAACTACTCGTCTACTCAATAAAAAACTAGCTCTCTCTTTCGTCAGTATGACATGTCTCACATGTCCTCGAAATGGCGCCATGCACAAGGTACCGGTACTACATGTAGTAGCTAGTACTAGCAAGAAGCCAAGATGGTAACTCCGCCAATAGCACCATTGAAGGAGACACATGCATGGTGGCTGGTTCGAGTCTACTTGGGAGTCCTATGGGTCAATTCACAGCATTTTGTATGGATACAGTCAGAAAGCAGCTAGAATGTGCTGCATTCTAGAATGTGCTGCATTCTAGAATGTGCTGCATTCTCAAGAACTGCAAGTCCACCAAAGCCTACCGGTAGACACCTTGCACTGGCTAGCTCTTGCCACTGCAATGGTTGCTGTCAGCATCCATTGAATCAGCAGCAGTACGAATCTCTATGTACATGTTATGTACACTTGGTGTTGTGTCATTTCCAAGATTCCACTATGCAGATTCTTGAGAATCAGCATTTTGAATGCTGATTCTTAAGAATCATCTAGCTGATTCTTAAGAATCTGATTTTGAAAAAACTGATTCTTAAGAATCCTTTGCTGATTCTTAAGAATCACCAATTTCCAAGAATCAGCAAAATTCTGATTCTTGAGAATAGGCTGATTCTTAAGAATCCTTGTCTACCCTGTATTTGATTCTTAAGAATCATAATTTTCCCAAGATTTTTTCCTGATTCTTAAGAATAATCTGATTCTTAAGACTCCTTGTAACAGACCGAACCCTCATGAAGAGCTTGTGGGAGGTGGGGGCAACGACAGAAGACCGCACATCAAAATGATGTCCAAGGAGGGCCTCGACGAAGAGCAGTGCATAGATACTGAAGTTGTGTTATTGAGCTTATTGCTTGTCGAGGTACTGGATATTGTGAAGTTTTCTCTATGCTGTTAGTGCGTTGCAAAACTGACGTAAAGCCACAAATGATAGCTGCTCTAGCCTGGTAGCTAGGGAAGAGAAAGGAAGCAAAAACGTGTATGTAGTAAGTGTATGTAGTTATTAAACTCGTCCAAAATCTAAAAGCACCTACGCTGGACATCCAACAAAGAGGACTCTCGACCCGAGCAAAGCAACCAAGGAGAAATCATCAAGGAGTGGGTTCTCTGATGACTTCATAGGAAACAACAAAATGATGTGGAAGCAAGCTGTGTTTTGTGGCCTAGTTTCTAGATGGCACCCACTCCAACACCCACAGGAACACCACCACCCAGTGATTGCTGCTGCGTCAGTGAAAAGATGCCATATGGTGGAGCAATGGGAGTATCGTTCATGACAAGACTCTCAATCTTGTGTTCGATCACTTTGCCGGAAGTTGCGTCTAGCTTGTAGTGGGAGATTCCATCCAGAAATATCGCTTTGGGACCCAGAGGTACCTTGGGTATCAGGACGACATTCCATGATACTCGAATGGTGGATCGGCAGAAATCGTAGACCATTCGATATTGCAGCCGAGAGGAAGAAGTGAACCAAAACTTGATGAATGTTTGGAAAAAGGCAATCGAGCTTTTGTAGTTGTCGAGTCCAGTCAGTCGAACTCCAGAGGGATCAATCACTTGGATCTCGGGGTGATAAATCGAGTAATCTGTAAAAGACGAGACAAAACAGAGCAGAACAGAGCAGGAGGGATAGTTAGGTCAGAATCGAATCGAATCGAATCATCACCCTTTAGAATACATCACATGCAATGGTAGTCCTTACCTGGCGCAGACTTGAGAATTTCGGGCATATCCTTTCGCAGTGTGTCCATGGCTTTTCCCAAATTCATGTTAAACTCTTGACGCTCATCGACAATTTGTTGGATAACGGGAGGCAAATCACCATTGGTCTGAGTCAGTGGTTCTCGTTCTGCTGTCTCTTCCAAGCGAAAGGATTCTGGCAACGAGGCGCCAGTTCTTCTACGAGTCGATTGTGCGGCATATTGTTGTTGTTGTGGGACGGAAAACCCTGTTGTTACTGTTAGCAGCAGGCAGCAAAGCAGTGCCGAGAGTAGTAGTCTGTGTTGCCAATTGTTGCTTGTCATGGTCGTGCTTTTCTTCGTCTCTTGTTTTTTGTGGTTCTCGCTGACGATGATGGGCACCGGTGGCTCAGAGTTTTGCGTTCGTTATCCGTTTCCGCCGTTCGTGGCCAGCAGGACTGGATGACGCATTATTGGGACGAGAAATCGCATCAATCATCTGTTAAATATTTGGTTCATCTTTTGGCTTAGTTTTATTTAAATGACAGATTGCAGTTTATGTCTGTTGCTAAGTCCTTGTGCTTCGATTAAAGTAACTAATTGGAAAGATAAGTGATCTAAATAACACCTCCCCAGAGACACCCCACACATGCAGGTATCCTTCCAAACCGACTCGTCTCTCATCACTCTATCTTGAGGCAGCCTCAATAATTGTTGAGGGCTTCATACGTGACACAGGCAGCCTCAATCAATCAACACAGGTACCGGTATATATTATTGATTTCCCACCAAACCAACCAAAATGTCAACCAAAGGCAACGGCGCTGAAGGTTCGGCCGACGATGAAAGGGAAAAACAAAACTCGCTGCATCAAAAATATCTCGAAATCAAGCGTGAACACAGCCTTCGAACAAGTGAAGGGCTTCGTCGGATTGCTGAAGGGCATGGTCAGGTTGCGTCTGCCGTTGTTGAATACTATGATCAGATGATTGAGCTCCAAAAAAGAGGCTTTCTGCCACCCCCAGGTGCTCTCCAACTTCCAGCTCAATGGGGCATTCCACCCTTTCTATCAGCTCATATGGTGTTGCCTCCAATGATGGTGGCACCGACCAATCACCCGCCAGCAATAAATAATCGCCCATCTTCGGCCAGAGCCAGTTCGAGGGTTCCTACTGGTACCAATAATCCAGAGTCAAAGGAAACTTCTGACGGTACCACTCCCAAAGTTCCCCCCAAACCTCCATCCATGTCATCATCATCGTCGTCGTCTGATAGCGAGACTGACGAGGCGGACGACGGCACTCCAACCGATCGTCATATTTGGCCCGATGGAACGTGTCAGTATGTTGCCTCGGCAAAACAAATAAAGCCTACAGGAGCTGTCAATATTGGTTGGGCATTTTACATGCTCCAAACCAACAAGAACAAAAACGGTGTCATTGCTCGAAAAAGCTACTGTCTTGGCACAATGGAGTGTCCTACCAAGGGCTGTCCCTTTTCCTTGCGGCCAATGAATCCACCATTCAATAAGCTCGGGATGCCACCTCGACCTCACCGCAAGGCATGCCCAAGGCATCCTGACCGTCCCCTGAAATGGGTACCTTGCACTGGCGGGGAACTAGCAACAGCAAGGCAAAGAAACATTGAAGGTGGCAATCCGTGCATTATTATTCAAACTCACAAGCCAGGAAATGGTTCGGCCAAAGTGGAGCATTATGGCACTCACAATCACCGAAGGCCACCCGCGAACAAGGCCAGTCCACTGTCCTTGAAGCGAATGGAGAAAATGGTTCTGGAGAACCCAATAAAAAAGAAAGGGCGTTCCACAGGAAACGACTGAAATGAAGTGAATTGCTGTGTGTTCCGTCTCGCGCCGCGTTTCTCTTGGAATCGTGTGATGAAGACGAGTGGGCTTGAACGATCCCCACTACCTACTGTCGGTAGGAAGAACGCCTTCCTACGGTACCGGTACCGGTATGCGTGTAGTAATCCACTGGAAACGACAACTAGCTAGAAGCAGTAACGAGCGTGTTTACTTTAAGGAAACCAACAGTTCCGAATCAAAGCCACGGACCTCTTCCCAGATCAATCTCAGTATCATCTGGCCCTGCTCTTGGCCGCCGTCAGCATTGGCAGCATCCCAGTCAAAGTCAAGCTCTTTGGAGGAACTCCAAGTTCCTTTGGATGGTGGTACTGACATGGAGGCTTCTGAAAGAACCATGCGCTGCGTTAAACTGCCCAGAACCAACACCAACGTGTAGGAAGAATCGTCCTTGTTACGGTTGCGTGGACCCTTGCGCTTGCGCGCCGGCTTATTCTCTCGTTGAAATTCAAGCGACAACTTTAGCTTGCCGCGGCTCCTTCCGGAACCCTTGTCCACTTCGTGGTGTACCGATGATTCGGCCACAGAGAAAACTGGAATGCTGTGGAGATAATCCAAAGCATTCTCTTGCATATTCTTGCCGCGTAAAACTCGGTTGAGCACCTTTGCTGCCTCCGTTCGGTCCATGGAGCGCAGCTCGCGAACGAGTGGATTGTTGCCTTTTGTTGTCATGCCCTTTGCCAATCGACGTGCGGACTCAGCAGTAACCCCCGGCAGTTGAACGACAGGGTCGTCCTTTGGCTGTGCGCGACAGAGAAGAAATAATCGTCTTAGCAAAAAACAACCCTCACGAACACCTCCAAAAGACAACTCCAGACTTACCAGAGACATTGTCGCCAAGTACTGCTTCGCACGAGTAAACTGGCAAATGAGATCCATCGTGCCCACAGTAGTCCTGTCATCCGTCGCAATGAATCGCATCGCCGCCAAGAGACGGGGCATGTTTTCAATGACTGATTTAGTGTCATTGAGGTAGTCGCTTATCGGCAGCTGGGCGCCTTCCAAATGAGCTTGCAGAAGCAAAAAGCACCTATGACAGGCAACAAGGAGAAGAGGAGCGTTGGGTAAGGAAACAAGCCGAAGGGGGGGAGTTGGCTCGAACACGAAACGATGATACTTGCTTGGTGTGGGGGTCTTCAAAGATTTCAGGGTTGCGGTATTGGTTTCGGTCGCCAGAAAGAAGACTCTTTGATTCGCAGGAACAGGTCATAGGAACAGAGTGAGGAGGGCAGTACACACGATATGAGCAATCTCTGCAGCAGTAGAACCTGGATGCACTCACCTGGGTGTCTGGTCCCCACATCAGATCGTCGCTCAGTTCTTCGTTCAAAATCTCCTCGTTGTGACGGACTGGCAACTCGTCAAACTCATGAGTTGACGAAAGAGTGTACAGTAACCATGCGAGTGAAATTTCATCCACCCGCTCGGAACGGCGAAATGGTGCCAGAGTGTTCAACTGATTCAATTGGTCTTGCTGTTCGTTCTCGAGGCAATTCAGAATCATCTTGCGCGCTTCTCGCACTCCAAACTGCATCTGCTTTGGAGTGCCACAGAGCAAGTAGTACTTGCTAGCCGCCAAGCCAAGAACGGTGGCCGATATAGGGGCCTCTTCGTCATCACCTTCTGTCGAAATGCATGCATGACCCTTGAGTTTCTGGATTGTATCCTTTACAACTGAAAGGAGGAAGAGCTCAATGCCTTCGCCAGTATCTGCCTCGGCCCCATAGTATGAAGGATTGGCCCGCACACGTCGAGCGAAAAACGTCCATGAAAGATATCCGACAGCATCAACGGCAGAGTTTACTGTGCCAATAGCAATCTCGGCATTGAGGTTTTCACACAGACGCTCCCGCAGACAAGATTCCACAGGAAATGGACTGTAGAGGAATTTCTGAGAAGAGGAGGGCATTCAAGTATTAGACAATCCAAGCATGAAAGGGGAATATAAAGTTTCTCGCGGCCTCGGCCTCACCATATAGAAAGGTTTCTTCGCCTCCATGGCCATCACCACCGCCTTTCCCTCGTCGCTGAAGCCGGGTCTTCCTGGAGATCCAGGAAAAGCGATGTGTGAGTGGCATGCAACCCCATGATGGCGTTATGTTGTGCACGACAAGCCATCTCTAAAACTTACCCGCGCGACCAATCATCTGCAAGACATCCGTCAGGGGATAATCCACATACCTACTTGTCTTGCCATCAAAGTACTCTGTACCCTTGACAATAACGAGATGGGCGGGTAGATTGACTCCCCATGCAAGTGTCGCTGTCGCAACCAGGACCAAGATGTCTCCATTGAGAAAAAGTCTCTCAACACTGTCGAAAATGCAAATGTAAGATTATTGTGGTCAGATGTTGTCGTAGCCACCACGGAAGGGCTGCTTTCAATCAACGTACATATCTCGATCGGATGAAGCCAAGCCAGCGTGGTGGAGGCCAATGCCAAAAGTGATTGTGTGCCGAAGCGCTTCATCACGGATCTGCTCTGCAACAGAATCGATGTACTCTTCCGAACACCCCACGAACATTTTCGACTTTTCGTCACCGGCGGCGTAGCTTATGATATCGAAAGCTGTTAACCTAGTTTGTCGTCGCGAAGCTACGAATATCAGAGTGGGCTTGCCTGGAGCATGGTCTTTGATCGCTGCGTAGCACGGCTTGTTCATGGTTGCCATTCTGTAAAACAAGACAAGAGGATTCACAAGTGAGGGCAGGACGGATTCCAACGGACCGCCAACACTCAGCGAACATACCTTGGGCAATAATGCTGCCCGGAATATCCTTGAACGTGAACCCGCATACCGACAGGGCGAACAGAGGACCTGAAGTTGTAGAACCCACGTCGAGCAATCGCTCCGTATCCATCCGTCGGAACCCCCATCCAGTTAGCAAGATCACCTGGGTTTGCCAATGCTGTCGACAGTCCAATGATTCTCGTCATCTCATAGCCAGCCTGCCCGTTTCCGGACCTTGCATGATCATCTTTCGAAACACCGTGCATCATCTGTTGCGAAATAAATCGAGTTCTGCTGACAATGGCTTCAAGGACAGCCCCTCGATCTTCTCCCAACAAGTGAACTTCGTCGATCACAAGGAGACGCACTCGTTTTGTGAAGCTGGATGGATCTCGCCAACCCCTTGAAATCAGGTCGTACTTCTCAGGTGTGCAAACTAGGATGTCCGCTCTGTCGAGATCTCGTTTTCCGTGACGGGTGTCTCCTGAGAGCTCCAAAACGGTCCAGTTGAGGGGTGCAGAGCCCAGCCGTTGTCTCCACTCCTTCAAACGCTCCCGTGCCAGCGATTTCAAAGGTGCTATGTAAACTACACACGCCTTCGGGTGCAACCGTTTCATTCGCTGAAGGACAAACCAAAAATGGGGGGATGGATAAGATTGAAAAATTCTGACCAACAAGCACTAGGAGCGACCCACACGTACCAGAATTGCCAATTCGCTGACGGCAGTTTTTCTGCAAGCGCAAAAATTTGATGTTAGGGAGGTCTTGCGCTTCCAGACAATTCTCATGACAAACAGATCTACTCACCCGCTCCCTGTTGGTGCGCCAAGAAAGATCGGGCAGTCCGTGTGATAGAGAACATGGAACAACTGAGTTTGAATTGGATTGAAAGTGTCGAACTTCGAGTACAGGTTCTCGTAGTTTGGCTCCTGTAAGGCTGTCGTCGGCAAGGGAGTGAGATCCATCAAATCAGTGAATGGTGTCTTTTGTTTCGGCAGCTTGATATCCCGAAGCGAAACTGGATGTAGCTTTTCGACGGCTACCCAAGTATCTGAGACGACTCTGACAAAGTACTGACTCGGCAGTGGTTCAAACGCGGGGATTGAGAGGTCCAGAGTGACAGGATCGGGATAGGTGCGCTTGGAGAAGACAATGTGCTCGTGGTGGTAGACTTTGTTGTGATCCGAATCTTCGACCCACAGCCAGAAGGATTGGGCACCGCCGTGCCAACGGGGGCTCCATTCGAAGACAGGGTGAAGCTCAATATGGAATCGGAAGACACTGCTAGTCACTGGTTGAACCATGCAGTTAATTTCAAGCCTGGGGAGCATCTTGACAAGGCGCTGTATCTTTGCTCCACCCTTATACCAGCGGCAGAACTGTCCCACTTCATTCGCGGACATGTCCAACAGGTTCAGGGTAGATTCGAAAGAGTCGTAAGAGCCTTTTGTCTGGTTTTCCAGCGCAGCGAAAACGCCATTCTGCAATTCTCCTTCAAAGTGACGCAGGGGTGTTTGAAACCACCATATCTGGTTGTCGACGCTCTTGGCAATCCGCAAGAGCTTTAGCGCCTGACTTGCCAAACCTTCTCTGATACACATTTCAAATATCGCCCGAGCCACCCTTGCGGCGTTCGAAGCCAGGTAGTTCATATCAGTAACAAGCGTGAAACTTTTAATGCGATGTCTTGAGACGTAGGCCTGCATCAGAACGAAACATTTGTCGACTTCGCTGTGGACAAGGCTTTGATTCTCGCCGTCAGCATATGCTTGATGCATCTGGAGAGGGCAAGTCGTTTTTGCCAGGGTTTCCAGCTCGCTGAATTCCTCTTGGCGTAGCTTCATATTCTTGAACTCATCTGCCGAACACACCACTCTGGCGAGATGAGAATCACTTGGTGAGTTGTTGTTTTCCAACATTTCGTTGAAAACGGAGACACTTTCGGCGTTGATGTAAAAGTGGGCGGCAACTCTCCCTCTTGTCGTGACGCTGAGATTGCCGGAGTCTTCGCCGAAGCGAACCATGCGATTGTAGTCCAGGAGTTTAGCCGCGTCCTTGACCAATTCAAAACATCGATTGTTCAGTTGAGGGTCATCTGCAAATTGATCGGCATTGATGCCGTAAGCGAGAGGATTTCGTAGCATTCTGACGTAAAGATATGTGTACTTCAACCAGGCTGCTGCCTCCCTCAACGTGCTGACAGTGCCTCCGACCACCTCTGCGTTTAGATGATCTGGGAGTTGTTTGATAAAGTTGGATTCGATCGGAACAGCACGGACTAGTTTGTCGAGATACCGCTGCAGCGCGTCGTGTGTAGTGATCAACGTTGCTTCTCCTGATGTGTCAAATTGCGGGCGCCCAGCTCTTCCAAAAATTTGCTGCACATCCAAAATACTCAGGTCGACAATACCACCCTTCTCGGGATTGTAAACTTCAGTGCCCTTGATCACTACCGAATGCACCGGCAAATTGACTCCCCAGGCCAAGGTGGCTGTACAACACAGCACTCGAATGGCCCCTTCTGCAAACATTTGCTCTGTCAACTTTCTGTCACCCCGCAACATCCCAGCATGGTGGATTCCCATGCCATTCTCAAAGTGGATCCCGAGTTCGCGACTACGTGACTTCTTGACGCGGTCCGCAAAACGTTTGTTGGCCGCCCCAAGACTCCCCTCTTTGCCTTGCGTCACAAAGTACTTCTCCAATACACCTTCGTTGGACGCACGATCTCCCAACGCTGTGGCTGTGTCTCCAGTGCCTTTTCTCGAGTGCACAAACACCATGACCTGGTGCCCTCTTTTCAGGGCATCGAGAACTTCATCGTAGCAAACATCATTGAGCTTTTCCTCCTTCAGATTGCGGTCTCTTGTCTTTGCTACCACTCCAATGAATTGTTGCCTTAGAGGAACCGGTCGGTGCTCAGGGCCAAAGTAGAATAGACCACGTTCTGGGACTTGCAGAAATTCTGCCACATCGGCATAGTTGGGGAGCGTTGCCGACAGAGCTACGATTCGCACTTGCCGTTGCCTGCTTTCGACCAACCGATGGAATCGAGAAACAATGGACTCAATCACTGCACCACGCTCGTCCGCTAGCAAATGGACCTCATCAATGATCAATAAGCCGCATTTGTTGCCTAATGAATTCTCATCAGTGCCCGACTTGCGGGTGACAACTGCGCGGTGGATTCAAACAAACAAACATCGTGAATAAACAACCAGTGGGATGAACGCCGAACCAGGCTATAGCAGGACACGAAACTTACCATCCCACTTTTCGGGTGTAGTCACGAGAATGTTGGCAGCCTCTGCTGCCGCACGTGTCAACTGCATATCTCCCGTCAATTCTCGCACAATCAACCCCAGCGGCTTCAACTTGGACGAGAACTTCTCCACAACTTCTTGTGCCAATGCCTGAATACAAACAACGAAACGAAACAATCGAGGAGATAAGCCATCCATCAGCTGGTGTATCGATTCAATTGCATCCGGGCTTACCTTCATTGGTGCAATGTAGACAATCTTTTTGCCCGCATCCGAAGTTTCATTGTAGTCTGGTCCAATCAGCCCAACGTCTCTCAGGTGCGACACCACAGTCAGCATGGCCACATTGGTTTTACTGACAAGTGTGGAGGAGCATCAACCTGCGTCAGCAAGCTCCTTTTGGTATTGGCAAACACAGGCTTTAGCCGCAACTTACCCAGCTCCCGTTGGTGCACACACTAGCATATTCAACCGAGTTTGAAAGGCAATTTCACAGGTTGTGGATTGCATTGGATTGAGGGATGCAGTTCCAGCAAAGGCGACGGCCTCTGTTGGATTCATAACGTCTCTGACTTTGAAGCGTCGGTGTAGATTGGCTTCATCTCGTCGTGCTGGAGGGATAATGACTCGTTCTAGATTTCCCTCGTGCTCTCGAGTTGTCCCTTGTGGTAATCCCTGTTGGTCATAGTACTGCCGTGATCCCTCTGGCAGTAACGATTGTTGCATATCCCAGACTTGGTCTTGGGACATTCCCATCATTCCTCCAGAACCCATCATTTGAGCACCGTCCTGAATCACCATGAGGTCGTTTTCATCGACAATGGCTCCTGCTTCTCGTGCCTTTTTCAAGGCTTGTGCGGCTCGTTTGGCTGCCTTTTGCGCATTCTTTTGTGCTTGGACCGAACTGGCCCTAGTGACGGTGTGTGTGACACCCGATCCTGCGTTTGGCGCCAGAGCTTCGGCTTCAGCTTTGGTAATGGCAGCAATATGAGCTGCATCGAGTGCTTCTTGTCGCAACTGTTGTCGTCGTGCTTCTTCGGGATCGAGGGTAGTGACACTGCCAAAGGCATTGGCCGCTTGTTGTTGGTCCGTGGCAAGATCTGCTTTTGCAATGTTCTTGCGTATTTCGGGTAGATGAGAAGCAATATTAAACAGGACCTCCATGGCCTTTTCGGAACTCCCCAGGGCATCAAATAAAGCCGATTGCTGTTGAGCTTCATCTGGCAAATGGCTGGCATCTACCACGGCTTGAGCCAGGATCTGGGGTCCCAATTCGGATGGTACCTGGGCACAGACGGAAAGAAGCCAGTTTGCCGTTATGGGACTTTTACCTCCACTAACTGCTACAGCGGAATCTCCACCATCTTGCAGCGCCCCTTCCGCTTGAAGGGTGCCGAGTGCCTCCAGGAACTGGTTCCATGAATCGGCTACATCGGATGCCGACCACTCCTCTTGAGAAACGGGTTTCTTGCTCTCTTTCAAGCTTTCCAGCAGGGATTCCATCCTGTTCTTTTCACTGCTGGTTCTCTTGTTGTTTAGCGTTGTTGTCGTTATGGTTTTGATCTATATTATTAGTCAGTTTCAATGAAACCCACAATGATCGGTACCTGGTACCAGTTGCGCTGTTCTTGCGGGCGTTTCAATAATGCGATGATCGATCGATGGGACGTGTGGATCCAAACCCATGGCAAACACTCGTAGATTGGATGCAGGGGAAGGTGGACGAAACGTGTGTAACTTTTCCATTTTAATGCGGTCGAAATGATCGAATCGAATCGAATCGAATCGAATCATCAATCGAATGCATTCGAAGTCCCTCACTCCCAGCCACCGGCCGAGCCCAAGCCCGCTACCGGTCGCAGTACACGTATGTAACATACTTACTTTTGCCATGAGATTTCCAGGGATGAAAGAACATTCACAGAGATGCCAGGCTACACTGTAGCTAGAGTTTTTCCGTATGTATTGTACTTTACAAAAGGGTCTATCTAGTTTATTACAAATGGATGAATGATGACAAAAGCGACACAAGCAAACATTGCTTGCTACGAGATAATACTACAGGAAAAATTGGTTTTCCAAAACAACAGAGTCTGAGTGACGCAACGGAGGAAACGTCGTATCTGTCTGTTTCCAAAGAACGTTTTCGTCTTGGTATTCTGTGCATGGCATTCAGGTGAAAAGAAAATTGTAAGGCAACTGCTCAGGACCAAACGATAGATACAAAAGGAATATCACAAAAACAACAACATACCAGAATGCCCAGTCACAACCCAATCCCATTGAGCATGGGTTGCGTTAAAGATTTCCAACGTCCCATATCCATATCGCGTTGCATCTCGAACAGCTACCCAAGGAGCCGGCTCTTCGGTTTGAAACTGAGCCTTGCACTGTCTACCTCCTGCGCCCACCACAACATGGACCGGCCCTTTGGGAGTGGGTTCGTCCATGGCGACATTTTTGGTTCGTTGGTAGGCATGAATGTGTCCCGCCACAACCAGGTTGACCTTGTACTGGACAAACAAGGGTTCGATGTGTTCCTTGGCTGCCAGAATTTGCAAGTCGTGGTGATGCACATCAAAGGCATTGTATACGGGTACATGCATGGTGACAATGAGCCAGGGTGTCACTCTGCGCTCGACGGATTGGAGTTCTCGTACGAGCCACTTGTATTGGATTGATCCCGGGTCCATCGAAGAGTAGGCATTGAGAAAGATATTGTGTGTGATGCCATAGGAAAAGGCATAGTAGGCATTGCCGTATTCATAATCCAAGGGATAGGGCGGAGCGTCCATATTCAAATGACCCGATGGACCATCGTAAACACCCAGTTGTGCAGGTTGGACGTGGGGCATGTCGAATCGATGTTCGTACGCGAGGAAGATCTCGTTCGAGTTTTCTTCTTTTTCAATATCATGATTCCCGGCACATATTTGCATGGGTATTTCGTCGACCATGAAGAAATCATCCATAAAGTCAAAGAAGGTATCCCATCGACGATTGTCGTATCCCGTGTAGGCAATATCTCCAGCCAACATGATGGCATTGAGGTTGTTGCGTTCGTGTGTAACCAAGTGGACGATGTTTTCTTGAGAATGTTCGAATTGGCCAATGTCACCAATGTAGGCAAACTTCAAGCTGGGTTGGTTGTTGGTCTTTTTGGTTTGGTCCAGAGATCCTAAGGCTGGTCCCGTTTGGAAGGTTCGAATCTTATTGGGAGGTGGACATTCTCCCTGAGTACCATCGTAGTAATCGAGATCCAATTGTCTGCTCCGTTGATCCGGTTCATCATCGTTATCTGCCGATGATTCTTCTCGTTCTTCTGCCCTCATGACCTCTTGTTGCTGATTTGCTTTCATGTAATCATGGTCGTGTGAATGATCTTTTCGTTTCTTCAAACTGTTTCCCCGAAGAGCCCATGCCGTCTCGGAAGCTTCTAATGGAGATTCATCATGACGTTTCCGTACGGTACACTTGTAATAATAGGTAGTGGAGGGTTCCAAGTCCTTGATCCGAATGGCATGTAGCAGAGGAGAATGGTATTCTCCATGTTTGGCCTTGTCGGGTGTCGCATTGTAGTATCGATGTTCTTTCTCTTCAATGTACACATCCAGATTGTCGGGAGACGTTCCTATCAGCACACCGCCTACCAGAGGAGCATGAAAGGATCGCACGGAAGAGAAGGACACTGTCATTTGAGTGGCCGGGTCGTGGCCCACTGCCAAATGAACATGTCGAATTGAACCAGCACAGCTTCGAGCGCGATATCTGGATGCATGTACTACTGGTAGTGTATTGATCCATAATAGGAGTAGTATTCGCAGTGTTCTGGATAGTATTATTCGTGTCGTCATGGTGATGATGCAGAAAGATTCGGTGTGACGCAGTGAGATTCCCACACACTGACTGGAGCTGCTACCCTCGATGGAGATCTACCAACTTGGTACGGGTAGGGTAATGGTATCAGCGGCTTAAGCTGAAGATAAGAGAGCTATTGCAAGTGATGGAAGTCCAAATAGCTTCCTCTCGGGATAACATCAAGAAGCGAACAGCAGGAGCAACACCGGTACCATGGAGGTTCTTGTTCTTTTGTCCTGAATGAGTTTTTTCTTTTCTCACAAGATTGACAAATTACTGTAGCAAAACTGCGAGCGCTGGCGCGATCGGCAAGGTTCAATAAAAACGTTCCCACGTTCTAAGTATTATTAGGGTTATTAGGTTAATTTCAGCTGCTGCGCGCACAGCGTGGATACAGCTGAACCCGTGGATATTAACCAGCCAGCAAGGCACTGCTGGAAAATAAAAACAACAGCGTGACTTGAGGCTTGCTTCCATGGAGTATTCCCGGGAAAGCGACTTCGGGGAAGCTAACTGCAGCCGTAGTAGTTTATCGGATGAGGATGTTCCTTGCTGCTAAGCCTCGAGGAGCTGTAGAATAGCAGGGAAAGGGAAGCAACTGTTGCCGCACCGGCACTCTACCTGGTACCGGTACCACCGTGCCGTGCATCTGCCTTGTGGCTGCCTAATTTTTAGGCAGTGAGCGAACGATATGTAGATGAGGCTATCGGGCAAATCAAAGGGTGCCACCGCGCACACCAGAGCTGGTCACACCCGAGACAACCAAGACAAAGAGGCCTGTCATGATGCCTGACAATGCCTCGACAAAAGGCTTTGTGCGCCTTGCTTCTTTATGTCAGTGCTGTTCAATTACGGAGTACAAGGGGGTTGTGCCTGTCTGACTTGCTCATACTTCGACAAATGTTCCCACGGGGACGGCCTCAACGGAAACTAAATGGGCACGTACAGATCGGATTGCTACACCTACGATTATACTGATGCGAATCGATATCTTGCTTTCTCTTACGAGAATTCCTTTTTGCTCGAGCTTCCTCGGGACCAAGCAAAACAAGGTACCGGTGTCATGAACGTACGTGCGCTCCCATCTATCTTCTATCCGTTGGTTGCTTCCCACCTCAGCTAACTGCTCATGACTCATAGGCAGTGTGCACGGGCATGCATTGCCGGTACTGACTGATAGCTAATTGTTACATGTGCGCTTCATGTGGAGAGAGCAGAGACGGTATTCCGGAACATGGTTGTGAAGCCAGCTAGTAGCTTCCTGAAAGATAAGGAAGTTGCTAGTAGTAGACGTTGCCTGTTGTTATGCATGGATCCCGTTAGTTAATGGTAGTTTTATGCTAAATGAAAATGAAAATGTAATATGTAGTATGTAGTCTCTATCATGTGCAGTTGTGCATATGGAAGTGTCCATCCATTCACCTTGTTCAAAATAGATGCTGCATCGCACTTGCTTGGGTACTGCAGTCAGTCAATAGAGCAGTTTATTGCCATATGTAGCCAACACGTAGCGTATGTAGTTTGAGTGTAGATTGCTTCTTCAATGACTACAACTCCGCTGGAGCACGTCACGGGGAGAATTCATGAGATCCTGCTTCAGGGGATTGGCTTTGCTGGAGCGCAAGCGAGAGTAACCATCCTGACACTGAGCATCAATGGTGTTCATGAGTTCTTGAAGGCTAATGTTTCGTTCCAAAGACAGATGCAACTGCGACACCGCATCAACGACAAGTTTGGAGTTATGCTGAAGACCAGCAACGTTGGACATCAAATCAAAAATCTGCTGGCGCTGCCAGTAGGGTAGGGTAGAACCATCTATTCGCTCAATCGCCAGGAGCATGCCAGCATAAGCAATCACAGATGGAGGATACTTGACAAACTTGTAGAGACACACTGAGATTTCGGAAATGAAGCGTGTCACTTCAGCAATCAAGTACCGGGTCAGTGGGATCACTGAAGGGGGTAACATGCGTAGGAATTGACGGAGAAAGCAGACTGGCGTGGGAGGATGAACGTTCCAGTTGAGCGCCTTTAACATCTTGATCTCCATGTCAATCACATCCTGCTCGTTGAACAAGCCACGGCCAAGCTTGACCATGCTATCCAACTTGACCAGGGTCGAGTCGTACAGCTTGATGGCGAGCTGCAGCGCCGTCATGGCAGCCAACTGAAACTCGCGTCTCGACACCACCAGCCCATTGATCAATGAGAGATCCAGATAATAGGCAGCTACTGCCACGGAGTCTCGTCGAAGATTGCAATGGTCCACCACGCCGTACATCCACTCCACGATCCTTTGCCGCCATGACCCATCAACGACTCGATCGGAGATATCCGTCTGAGTGGCGAGGTAGTCAAACCTTCGGTAGATCGTGGACTCTTGCTTGCGCATGATACGAAGGGTATCTTCGATCTCAGCCAAGGAGGATCCCTCCATGTCCAACGGGGTTGTTTCCATCATTGTCATTTTGCTGCTGTATGTGATGGTTGAGCTGGAGGGGGTATTTATGAGAACGTGCTGAGCCGAGGATCCAACAAGCCTTCGAAAGGAAGCAAAGATGCGCCGTTCTGGAAGGACCAAAAAAGATCCTGTGGCCTCGGAGCGAGAAAGCAGTGTGGGAACAATTTATGACCGAACTTTTGTCACTGGCATCTCACCTCTAAGTGGATTCAGATGTTCAGCGAGCTAAGTGTTAGAGTACTTAGCCACAACGGCTCACGTGCCCTCCGTCCACGTTTTGCCGGCTGCGTGGAGCCTAAGTCCAAACTAGTTATCTTGGCGTGTGACAACGAAAATTGATACTGGGGATAGGCAAAGAGCGACAAAGTGCGCCGCCAATTCAGGTCTAAGAAACAGAGAGGAAGGGAAAAAGCCCTACAGTCTTTGGAGTGTTGCAACTCCAGTTAGAGAGCACCATTTTTGTTGACAAAACGCCAGCGACCGGCCGTTTCAATGGCCGCAACGGACTGTGACAGGTGCACCCAAGAACAACAGAGTACATGAGAATCCCATTTCCGCTTTGAGTCATTTCGATTGACGTAACCTCGTCGAACAAAAGGGGATAATTACATCTTCGATTCGATTCTCATATTCTCAGAATTTCAGATCCTCACATGCTGCCGGTTGAGTGACACTCCTAGCTAGCTACTAGTACCGGTAGGTGCTTGCTTGATTGGGCGCAAGGCCCAGCCACCACACGGAGTAATCTGAACCTTTGGCGACAACAGTTCTTACGGTCATGAGAAAAGCACAAGGCCTGTAATTCTTAGGTAGCATCAATGGAGATCAGCCACAATCCTCCTCAAAACAAAATTGGCACGCCATGGCCACTACTCTTGCAACGTTGGCCATGGCCCACACTTTCGGAGACATTGGCTGTAAAAAGTTGTGTGCGTTTGCCACAGCTTGCAATAATATATGTTCTTGGACATGTTTGTTCGATTTGCTCTACACTAAATAAACGAATTGCGGCTCTTATTAGTCGTCAAGGGCTGTTAGCACTCTGGCTAGCCAGCAGGCAGGGTCCTGGACCTCATCAGTGATGGTCCATTCCTTTATATTAGAATAGATCTGCTGGGCTTGGATGACTTCTTGTTCAGTTTCCAGTATGATAACCTTTATTTCACCTATGCATATGAGACCCTGGACCGTCCGACGGTTTTCGCTCAGGCTTTAAAAAACTGTCACCACTGGTTCTCATTTAAGGGCATGTTTTAAGGGCATGTTAGTTAAGGGCATGTTTAAGGGCATGTTGCCGATTTAAGGGCATGTTTTAATGGCATGTTTATTTAAGGGCATGTTCATTCGTGATAAGGGTACGTTCTATGGTGTTTCAATGAAGGCTTAAGGGCATGTTTCGAGGCATTAGGGTCATGTTTTAAGGGCATGTTTATTTAAAGGCATGTTTAAGGGCATGTTGAAGATTTAAGGGCATGTTTAAGGGCATGTTTTCAAACGGATTGCAGTCGTGGGAATTTCAAGTTGTTTAAATCCTGACTGAAAACCGTCGGACAGTCCTGGAGGCCTCCAAAGCCACCGTGGAGAGAAAGGGTGGACCGAGGTGGTTTGGTTGCACGTGCCAATGCCTATGTGTTCCATGGATGAATTTCGATTTGAGATGCTTGTTTGGTTATTAGGGGAGATTCAGTCGTACTTTCCACGTGTTAACCGGTGAATTTGTCGGTTGCCTGAAGTGTTAACTGGTGAAGGGGTTACGGATACTCGAACGATTAAAGTGAGTCATGGATACTATTAGGTTACGGATACTCGGATCGTTGTTCTACTACTGCGGATGTGGAAGGCAGGGTTAGGCATAAGCGTTCGCTTAGACGGCTTCTCGTGGTCTTTACGTTCTTTGTATGAATTAGGTCGCACGTTGACATGCTTAATAGCATGCATCCGTCTAGTCGTAATGGTTGGTCTAGTTCCACCAAGTCGTTGTCGTATTGGTTGACTGTGTGCATGGGAAACCAGGATTTGAGGTTTACTTCCTCGCCTTCATGGATCAAGCAACAGAGTTGCATCATACCCCGCAAGTGGTTGTAGGCGATGAAGGCTACGGTGGCAAATTCCCGTTTCGTGAACTCCACCATTGACATGTAGTCGCTAAGAGTTGCGATTAGACTAGTAACTATCCACAATTTTTAATTCTCAAATATGGCAAACAATAATTCTATTGCGAATGGGGTTCCTATGGACTTAGAGGTGATACGGGTGTATCTGCAGGAATACTATGGAATTCCTACGATAACTTTTAGGAGCGAGAGCTCTGGATCCCGTCAGAGATAGCTCCAACAGCTATGCTGGCCTACAACTCCAGCATGCACAGTTGGCTTATCTCCAGCAAAGCAGCAAGAAAGGATCGTCCTTTCTACCATAGTTAAGAAAATAGTACGAAAGATTGAGACCGATCCTGATTAGCTTGTAGCCCCTTTGATACCGCAGCAGTTGATACCTATCCTGTTGAGGCCGGGCAGAAGCAGTAGGAGGTAGCAGATAGTACTGTTCCCAGACTGCCACTGCACGATTGAATAACGAAGGCCCCCAGCTCCTGAGGTGAGCTGGCCCAAAGGGCCCAGCAGAGAGCTCTGCTGGCCCTCCTGTCTGACTGACAGGACCAAGTCCTTGGTTTGGTGCCTACTGGAGGTGTTGGAATACTCCTGAGGCACGACAAGGCTCCCTGAACTGCCTGACTACCGCTGTCCCTGAGGAAGGGTTTCAGCGAGACCCAGTCCACTACTTGAGTATTGGAACTGAACCTTCAAGAAACTTATTGGATTAACAGTCGCATAGATTTGCAGGCAGTTCTTCATAAGGGAAGAAGAGACCCCCTTGACGAGAAAAAGGATCTCTTCGAATTACACTACAGCCACAGTTGGATTCATTGGATTTCATTGGAATTTGGTGGTGATTTCAAGGCCCATCTTGAAGTCTTATCCCCACAACCTTCTGGTCAATTTTGATACTTCCAACCTTCACCACAGTGACAGGAACCTTTGACTTACCACTCCTACAAGGCCAACACCATCACCATTGCCTTGAAAAAGGACCTAGATATCAACCAACTTGACAACAACAAATCGACGAGAGCCACTCGACGCAAGCTAGACTACCAGCTGGATAGCTAGCACGAAAGAGAGGAAAAGCACCCAATTCACTCGAAAGAAGTCAAAGACAGCGAGTGAACGCGAGACTTATTGTTCCCCCACCTATCTTGGCAATCGAGCAACGCTTTTACGCTTTGAGGAACGGGCTTATTCCTTTCCTGTCAACCAGCGAATTACGTGATTTATTCTCCGTTCCGAAAGCAGGCACACATCACGTAAGCTCGCTGCGCTCACATTTTAAAGGTTTTACGTGGTCGAGTCATTGAAAATCGCGATCTGTACGGAGCGATTGATTCGAGCAATCAACCAAAGAAAGAAGCAACTCGGAGAGCCCTCGAGGCAACCAAGAGTTCAATTCGCTTGGCTGAAAGTGTTACCAGTGGATCCGCCACCCTTTGTTTAGTCAGTGGGTCACTCACCTTGGATTCTGGAAGCTTTTGTGGGGAGATTCATTGGACCCAAGTTGACTGGCTCCACAGTGGCAAAATCACCAAAACCAAGGCAATTCCCAGCACCAAGGCAACACAGGAATCAGGTCCCAGCCCTTGTACCTGGTCTACCTCATTCCAACAGACATAGATTGAATTTCCAAGACCCCTATCAAGGTCCCAGGAAGCCCCCTTTGTGTTTTCCCAGCTACAGTTGAGTCAGCCTCTATTCCACTGCAACAAGAGCTGAAAACCAGTGCTTCCACCGGTACAGCAGGTACACCTCTCCTTTGTCAGTAACAAGAGGCACCATGTCTTTCTACGGTTTCTACAGCGATGTGAGTGACCCTTATGCCCCTGGCTACTCCGAACGTTGGTGGCACCGCGTCTACTCTGGGCAACAAGTCCAAGGTAGCCACACCTGTACCCGCCCCACACACCACGATGGAGCTGGCAACAGCAACCTAGCCTACCGCCACCAGTACCGGGACACACAGCCACCAGTGCCACCACCAGATGAATACAAATCCGTCTTTTACATTCTAGAGAAGACACCGGCACCACCTGTGTCAACAGTGTTCCCACCAGACGCATACAAATCACCCTTCGACATTCCTGAGAAGAGGCCGGCACCCATGGCCTATGGTAGGACCAATCACCAGCTGGGCGATGGGGAGATTTCAGAGCTGTCGCCCGACAGCTCCAGTTGTCACCCAGATCTCATTGATGCGCCAGCCATGGAAGACGTGCTGGTCCGCTTTCAAAGGCAACAGGTCACCGTTGCCCGGCAACTCGACCTCATGAGAGCTGACCACGAGTCCCTCAGACGAAACCTGAGAGCTGATCATGAATCATTCAAGCAAGACATGAGAGCTGACCACGAAACCTTCAAACGAAAGATGGAAGCTCAGTTCATCGCCTTGAAGGACCAACTGGCAACTCAACTGGAAGCCTTGGTCGTGGTAGCTGCTAGGCCACCTGTCACAGCACCTACACCTGCTTTGACACCATCAGTTCATGGGGAGACCAATGCCACTCCACTGTCAGCCATGGGCAGTGCTGATGGCGTCCACAAGCCGACTGGTGACAGCGCTATTGGTTCCCAACGGCTCCACAGCCCAAAGAAGCAGCAGCGCCACAGGGCTACTCGTTCCAAGCAAGATGCCATTGCCATCCAGCAACGATTGACTGATGCCCTCTTGGCCACCAACCAGCTGCCCACCAATGTAGCCACGGCTCCATCTCCCAAGCTAGCTTGTGGAGAGTTGCCTGTCGCACGACCCATGCGTGTTCCAGCTACGAGCCACCAGCTGCCCAGTGCCACACCCTTGAATGCCCTCGCTGGTGCCCATCCATCGTTGGATGATGGGGAGATATCGAGCTTGCCAGCCCTAGTAGTCATCCAACCTCTGGGAGATCCATGATG